TGCCATAATGTAATTAATAAAATTTTTAATTCTTCCAATATTACAAATGATAACATTGCCAAGTGAATGTTTAATTGAAATTTTTAATAATCTTGAAGGTCGTCGTAATCTATTTTCATGCATTCTTACAAATCGTCAATGGTGTATAACTGCTGTACCGATATTGTGGAATCATATAGACATTTTTTTAAATAAAAAACTTATAAGAACATGTTTTTCAGCATTAAATGCAGAAGAACGATCTCATTTAATACCATTTAAAATAACTCTTCCAAGCGACTCAAATCCGTCATTCGAATATACATCCTATACTACATCAATTTGTATTGAAAGAGACTATGAATTTGAAGGACTTTTTCATTATTTTCCAAAGCAAACAGCTCAAGTAATTAAATATTCTTTAATCGAAATGTTTTTGCGAACAAGTAAGAATCTTAAACATTTAACAATTTATGGTAGACATGTAAATTTAACAGCAAATATTCTCAATAAATGTACAACTTTGACTTCCTTACGATTATTTGATATAACTGATTCTGAAGAGTTAAAAGCACTATTAATAACTTTTCGTAAGAATACTGCATTAGCTAATTTGCGCCTTTCAAATTGTTGGTTAGACTCTGAATGGAAAAAAATAGTAGATATAATTCTTGATAAAAATAGTAGATTAAACAGTTTGGATCTTTATAATAATCAGCTCGACCTTGAAGGAGGGATGGCGCTAGCGAAAGCACTTTATAACAATAACACTCTAACTTTATTGGATCTTAATAAAAATTGTCTTGGCCCTGATGTTGGAAAATCATTAGCAGAAGCACTTCATAAAAATACTACTTTATCCGATTTAGATCTTTCAAATAATTTCTTAGGACCTGAAGGAGGAAAAGCACTAGCAACAGTTCTTTATGTGAATATTACTCTGACTAATCTTAAGCTTCAACGTAACAAACTTAGTTTCGAAGGAGGGAAAGCATTAGTTGAGGCACTTCATAAGAATACTACTCTAAAACTTTTAGACATTTCGGATAATCGGCTTGGTTCGGAAGTTGGGAAGGCATTTGCAAAACATCTTTATCAAAATAGTACTTTGACTTCTTTGTCTATTAGTAATAATAATTTTAATGAAGAAGTGGGAAAAGCACTTGCAGGAGCTCTTCATTTTAATGCCACTTTAACTTCTTTGCATTATTCTGGTAATCAACTTGGTCCTGAAGGTGGAAAAGCATTAGCTGAAGCACTTTGCAAGAACTCTACTTTAACTTGCCTAGATATTAAAGACAATCAACTTCGCTTTGAAGGGGAAAAAGCACTTGAAGAGGCTCTTTGTAAAAATAACGCTTTAATTTCTTTTGAATATTAGTAAATCAACTTAACTCTAATGTGTAAAAAAGCTTTATCAAGAGCTCTTCAAAAAAATTCCACTTTAAAATATTTATATTTTAGGAAAAATATCCTTAGTTGTGAGGCAGTAAAGCAATAGCAAAAGTCTTTGTAAAAACAATCAAAAAGAATCCCTTAAAGCCTTTATTCTTTTACTGTCCGTACGCATTATCAATTTTATAGGCAGCATTATGTTTTTAGATTTATTGAAATAAATTAATTATTTAATTCAAAGTACATATTTTTGTTGTTATATCTAAAACGTAAGACTGTATAATGCTGTAATTCTAATAACGTTATATGATAATTATGATGCACATATTTATGACCATAAAGATCAGTTATTAGTTAAGAGATTAAGAATAGTTTTTTATATTAAAGAAGTATGGTTTATTATTAGAATTTAAAGAAAGCTGAGCATATAGCTTTTTGCATAATTATTGTATTTTCGACTCTCTTTCAAGTGTACCGCAAATTTTAATTGTGAAGGCAACTATTATTAATTGTAAGTGTTTGATCTCAATCGATTAATTGGTGGTGCAGCCGCAATTAATTAATTGCAATTTTTGTCGGAGTTCGCAACATGTGTGATAGAACATATGTAAAAGTATATTTACCGATCAAAATTTTGTATTTAAATACATAATTGGGTAAAAAAAATCCAAGTTATAAAGTGATCTTTTCTTTTTTTAATAATCTGTACAATTTACATTTCTTTGCGAAGACACGTATATCAAAATAGCGCTAGTTTCAATGAGCGCGAAAGTTCCAAACAAGTGTTACATAGATGCCATTCTAAAACTTTATCATAAAAATAAAAAATAGTTAACCCGACCCAAAATTTTTTGACACTTAAAATTGTTCAAATTTTCTATAATACGTTGCTTCTCAATAATATATAGTAAATAGACCCGGTAAATTGTAGTTTTAGAAATCTGAGGTTTGGTCTTCTTCCAGCAGGTAGGTGAAAATATTAATATATTTAAAATATGCATTTTATTGATCAAGTGGAAATTTAAGTTTTCACTGTAAGCAAGTTTAGACAATTTTCTAATCATTTCGATAGAATGTAAACTTTAATAATGACCAGAACACCGATAATATGCACTAAATTCGCTACGGTAAAAACTTAAATTTCCACTTCCAGGTATTCATTCTGCAGTTCTGCAACACTTATGATTAAGGAATGTACCATATGAGCAGGGGGGAAATCTGAAAGTGGATATCTTAAGAATTATGATATTACGTATCAGTATTAAGAGCGTAGTGAAATAACCTAAGTGTAGTGAAGCATCAGGAGCATAGTAAATTACAAGGAACGTGTAAAAGTATTAGAAGCTTAATGAAGTACCAGGAACATAGCGAAATACGAATGTAGTGAACGCAGTAAAAGGGAGATGTTGAATGATTAATTAATAAAAGACGCAACAATTACCAATTTAGCATATTGTGGTCAGCTGAAGTGTGAAACGTTATATGATTTTTATTTTATGATTAATTAATTGATGCGACTTTTGATAAAATTTGTAGATCACTGCATGCCTGGATTTTGGGATTTATCAGTAACCATCTAATCAAATCCTATTAACTTTTTTTTTATCTGAATTCTATAGATCCATAGAATTCAAATAAAAAAATTTCATCGAATTTGATCAGGCGGTTGCTGAGATATCCTCGCTCAGAGTTTTCATTAAAAAAAAAATCAAAAAAATTTGTCTATAATACAACAGTAAATAATATAGTAATCCCATGAGTTCTCGTTTATTTGAGCCTAAATTTTACAAAACAAAATTTTAATATATTGTCTAAATGTCAAGTTATTGCGCAGCAATCATTTTAGACCAAACTTTTAAAATCAAGATGGGTACCATGAATAATATCAAAATAGGATCTACGTTAAAATTTCCTAAACCTTTAAACGAATATTTTCAACCATCTGATCAAATTAAATGAAATTTCTATTTGAATTCTATAAAATACACAAAATACTGTTATTACATGGATTCAACAAGCTTTATAACACAATCTACATCCAATAATACTTGAAGACTTTAATACACATGATGATGTCTGTAGCTCATTAAGTAAAAGTAATTTCATCAAAGTTACTTAAGTAGTTGCTGCGATATTTTCGCAAAACGTTTATTAAATTGAAACTGCGTCAAATTTTTCTTACAACTTTGAGTAAAGCGGAAAGCAACCATTTGATCAAATTCGATTAATTTTTTTATATTTGAATTCTATGGATCTATAGAATTTAAATAAAAAAATTTATTAAATTTGATCAGATGGTTGCTGAAATATCTTTACTCAAATTTTTATAAAATTTTAACACAGATTATAATAAAAATTCATGGTATCCACCTTGATTTTGAAAAGTTCAGTCTAAAGTGATTACTGCGCAATATCTTGAATTTTAGACAATATACTAAAGTTTTTCTTTGTGAAATTTAAGCTCAAATAAACGAACTCATGGAATTACTGCATTTTTTTATTCTTGCACTATAAGCGAATTTGTTTTTTTTTCGATTTTTTTTTAAAAAAAAACTTTGAGCGAGGATATCTCAGCAACTGTCTGATCAAATTCTATGAAATTTTTTAATCTGAATTCTATGGATTAATAGAATTCAAATAAAAAAATTCATCGAATTTGTTTAGATGGTTGCTCACTCAAAGTTTTACCCAAAATTCGGCATAGCTTCTATTTTTGATTGACGTTTTGATATTTTTAATAAACTTTGAGCGAAGATATCTCAGCAACCACCTGATCAAATTCGTTGAATCTTTTTTATTTTAATTAATTTATTTATTTTTTTAATTTATTTATTTATTTAATCTATTTTAGAGGCAGTAGATGAAAAGAATTACGATAAATTAATCTAAAAAATATGTAATGCTAAGAACTTTTAAAATATGATTTCCATTGTAAATTATACGCAGACTGTAAATAGTATAAAGATCTAAAGTTGGTTTTTTTTAACAACATTTTATTTGATCTTTATGACCCGGGTCAACTCAATTTGGACCTGTGACCCGTATGACCCATCAGATTTACTGACCCGTACGGGTCAATCCAACCAGGTTAAGACTTCTAGTTAAGTAAACATGTGTGCAAACCTGCGTTAACTTGGTACAAGGGCAGCCGCCCTTGGTATAGAGATGATTTTTAACTTCGGTTTTTTCAATAATTTTAACTTGCATGTGTCACCATATACTGAATATAGTAACAGCTCTTTTACTAAGTGAAATATTTGATTTATTAAATCTTAAATTTAGTTTTTAAATTAAACCTCATAAATTAAACATTTCATTTAGTAAAGATTTGAATAAGCAGTGCTAAAAGCTAGACCATGTAAAATTTTGGCAGAATAAGTTTACCTAAATGCGAGAATAAGTTATCTTAGTAAAAAAGTTTTTATTATATATAGTTAAATAACGTTTAACTATGATTAGGGTCATAAATATGTGCATCATCAATAAATTAAAACCAGCTTATTGCCTATAAAGTTAATAATATGTATAATAAATAATAAAGGATTTTTCATTCAAATTTATTCCAAATGAAGTAGAGACATTCAACAATACTGTCTAGCTTTCTATTTAATGATTTATTCCAATTGTCATCTATTAAGAAGTAAATTATATATTTCATTTGAAACGTCCCTATCAATGATGTTTCCATAAAAACATAGGGACGTTATGGTGGTATTCTTGTAAAGAGACTTTAAGAAAAATTTTCCTACTTCTAAACCAAACTGATTAAAGGAAAGATTAATAGTTTTTAGTGTGGAATTGTTACAAAGAGCCTCCGCTAATTCTTTTCCTCCTTCAGAGCCGATTTTATTTTCATTTATACATATGCATCTCAGAGTAATATTATTACAAATGGCTTCCGCTAATGCTTTACCTCCTCCGCAGCTAAATTCATTTCCCCCGCAATCCAAATGTGTTAAAGCAGTATTTTTATGAAGAGCCCTTGCTAAAGCTTTTCCAACATCGGAGTTAAGTTGATTTTTACTAATATCCAAAAAATTTAAGGTATTATTTTTACAAAGAGCCTCTGCAAGTGCTTTCCCTCCTTCAGAACCAAGTTGATTATCAGAATAACGCAAGGAGGTTAAAGCGGTATTAATATGAAGAGCTCCTGCTAATACTTTTCCTACCACTTCATCAAAATTATTATTATTAATCGATAAAGAAGTCAAAGTACTATTTTGATAAAGAGTTTCTGCAAATGCCTTCCCAGCTTCAGAACCAAGCTGATTATTCGAAAGATCTAAAAGCTTCAGAGTAGTGTTCTTATGAAGTGCCTTGGCAATTGCTATCCCCCCTTCGAACTCAAGTTTGTTACATCGAAGATTAAGATGAGTCAAAGTAGTATTTGCATAAAGAATCATTGCTAATGCTTTTCCTCCCTCAGGACCTAAAGAATTATTTGAAAGATGTAACTGGGATAAAGTAGTATTTTTATAAAGGGCCTCTGCTAATGTTCTTCCGAAATCAGGGCTGAGGCAATTACTATTAAGATCCAATAAAGTTAGAGTATTATTTTTATGAAGTGCTTTTGCTAGCACCTTCCCTCCTTCAAGACCGAGTTGATTATCAGAAAGATATAGATTATTTAACGTAGTATTTTCGCAAAGGACTGCAGCTATTGAATTTCCTCCTTCAGAACGTATGTAACAATTTGGAAGATACAAATCTGTTAACGCAGTATTCTTATGAAGATTTGTTGCTAGCACTTTCAATTCTTCAGAAGTAAAGTTATGACCATATAATTGTAAGGAAGTCAGAGTTGTACATTTATTGAGAATATTTGTTGTTAAATTTCCATGTTTGCCAAAAGTTGTTAAATGTTTGAGTTTCTTACTTGTTCGCAAAAACATTTCAATTAAAGAATATTTAATTGCCTGAACTGCATAAGGTTCATCAGTTCGATAACTTCTTTCAATACTAATAGATGTAGTATAAGATGTATATTCGAATAATGGATTCAAGTCATTTGAAAGAGTTATATTAAATGGTATTAAATGTGCTTGTTCTTCTGCGTTTAATGCCAAAAGACATGTCCTTACAAGTTTATGATTGTTAAAAATATCTAGACGACTCCATAATATCGGTACAACAGTTCTACACCATTGACGGTTTGTAAGAAGGCATGAAAATAAGGTACTACGGTAATCTTTAAGATTATTCAATATTTCGAATAAACATTCATTTGGTAATAGTAACATTGTCATCTTGTAGTCGGATTAAAAGGTTTAATTACACTGTACTGTCACCATTTATACTGTTTGACGATTGATTTAGCATATATGGTAAAATTTCAGCCGATCAAGTGAAGAATAGTTAGCCAATAAAATGAAGTCTACTGATCCAACCGAAGCATTAGAGAAAAACTACTATAGTAAATAATAATATATGAGGATTGTATAAATAAGAATGAGTAATTTCCAGTAAATAACTTATATGACTGCCGCATCAAAGTAATCCAATATAATTCTTAATAATAAAGGTATACCTCGTCAGGATTCATTTCACATATCTCGTACAAGATCGAGTTGAGAGTTTTGTGAGTCAAGTTTTTTAAAACTTCTAGCAATGATTTTATAAAGTTAATAATTACTTGATAGAATTCATTAAAAATTTATTTATTTGATTTTATTGTTTTGCGGAATTAAATTAAAAAGCTCATTTAAAATTTTATTTTTGCGGCTGATGCTGAAATTTGAGGTCTCTATTTGTAAAGATAAGCCCAGCTAAAATCCATATGTACATTTTAATTATCAATTTTAACCAAAATCCTAATCTGACCCTAAAAAAAAAGGCGAAAATTTTTTCAAAATTTCATATCAAATAAGTCCAAATTTCAGCATCAGCACGATATTTGTTTTAGAATATTTACGTGATAAAAATTTTAAAATGTTCTGGATAATCATTCCATTATCCGTTTTAGCGGGATCCGCTATAACGAGGGTAGGGCAAATCGTGAATTTTTTGAATCTACTGCGCAGCCTGCAGCATCATACAAGCCGACCAGAATTATTGCTAGCTGGCCTGAATTATGCTAGCTAGCCTGAATTTTAAAAGTCATACTGCGCAGTTTTTCAAAATTCTGCGTAGTGGTCCATCCCTAGTAGTGTATTTGCGAACAATTTTTGCCATGAGTGCTGCCAAGGGAAAACCTGTCATTGGAAATTCAATTATATTTTGTGTACAGTTACCGTCTATGGCAAATCTATTATGATGATAGATCAGCCAACTGTACACGAAATATAATTGAATGTCCGATGATAGGTTTCCCCTTGGTAGCATTCATATCAACAATATATTTGTGAAACTTCTTATCAAATCATGAAAATCTTAATTTTTGGACTTTTTTAAATTTGAAGAACTTGATGTTAAATTCACAAACTCCTATAATAGGGGGTTTCATAATTAGCAAATAGGTGACGCATTTTGAAAATAAGTAGGATTTTTTTTAATAGTATTTTTACTATGTTGAATTATAAATCAGAAAAATAAAATAAGATTCTCTGATTTTAATTATGAAACCCCTAAATATATAAATTTTAGACCTGAAATTCATACTGACAAATAAGTGATTTTAATTTTAGTCTTGAAAATATGTAGTGAATTAGCGATATGAAAATAAAGCTAAAAATTATGAAATTGAGGAATGAATTTTGTTTTTGAGTGAGACACAATTACATTCCAAACCATCTATGCATTTAACATAGACTAGAGTAAACTCGAAAACTCAAATTAAATGTCAAGCTGATTTCACAGATTTGAATAAATAGTTTACGGAATTATTTAGTTTATTGATAAAGCTTGGAATATAATTTGGTTATTTATTTAAGGCCCAATAGTGTCTAGTTATTATTTAAAATAGTCGTTCCATTCTTTAAACAGTGAGGCATGATCAAATCAAAATGACTTGTCTAATATATGGCATTGTTTAATCATTGATCCCTTTCAAGACATACTGTATACTTTTAAGAGATATTTAAAATGGCATTTTAAACTTTTTTTAAAAAAATTCTGCATTTTATCAACAGAATTTTATAAACCATTTTCTAATTTAAACTAAGTTTACTGAAACACACCAGTGATATTCAACTTCACAGTTGGTTGCTATATCTCAAAAATTAAGAAATGGAGGCCAGATATATTAAGCAAAAATGTAAAAAGCTCACAAAAACCTTACACTAACCAAAATTTGAACCTTCATATCTAATCTTTTTTAGTCTATAACTACACACTAACTCTGAATTTTATAAGGTGTCGAATACCACTAGCAAACTTGTTATAAAACTGTGATCATACGTATAATTTTATGTCGAACAAGTTTAATTTGAAGCCGAGAGTATTATATTATCAAAAAAATGAGTTCACTGGATAATAAACATTTAAATTCATATTTAGCTATAATGAAACTTCTCTTACTAAGATATCCTATCAAGAAAATTTTTACGTTAAATGTAATATTTGATTAATTAGATCTAAATTTAAGCTTTTAAATTTAAGATTTATATAACAACCACTTCACTTAATAAAAATTCGTATGGCTGGATATTAGAACCTAGATGACATAAAATTTTGCGCAGTTTGGAAGGCAGAAATAGGTTGTCATGTTGAGAAATATCATAGTTAAATAAGAATTTAAATCTTTAATATAACTGATCATCAGGGTTAGGGATTGGAATCGGTTTAGTCGACTAAAAATTTTACATTGGCGATCATAAGTAATGGAGCAAAAAAAAACGGAGAGTCTACGGACAATTAGGGACAGTGCGATTCACGTGATATTACTAAAACCACTAATCCTAACTGTCCCTAACTAACTATTCACGTGATTTGAACTGTCC